TCTCTGGACAAATTTTGTCCCGACGGTTCATCCAGGCTAGTTCAGGTTCATCCATACAAACCATACAGATTTTTCACAATTTTCTTCAGTTCGTCCCGTATTAAAGTCAGTTCATACGGACTAACTGCACTAAAAAAATGCACTTCGGAGGGGTTTTACAATCAGTGTCTTTGCTTGACGGAAACTCTGGGAAGAGTCTGTTCATGGTAAGGATTCGACGCTTTGCCGTACCTAAAATTAGCCCCTAAATTTGGGATATTTTTCCAAAAATCATAAGAATTCATACAAAAGCTCTAAATACCCAAATAAATTACAATCAACCTTAAATCAATTTACAAAAGTTGATATCTCACTTCAAATTTAATTAAAATTTAATTAACCCTTACTTTATTAATACTTAAATGAAATCATATAAAATTAAATATTAACCATATTAAGCTCAAATTTTGAGAAATTTGTCCATTGGTTAATCCTAATCAATGACCTTAATTACTTGATCATTTGAGTTAATTTGGTTGATTAATTACCTACGACAAAAGTTCTTATATAAGAAGGGTTTTAAATAATTAAATAAATACTTTAAAATTAAGTATAAAAATCAAATAATCAAACTCTAATAATTATCAATCAAATAAACAAAATTATATGAAATAAAAAAAATATAAAATAATTAATTAAAATTTAAATAAAATGTCAAATAAAAATAAATAATAAAACATGAATGATTGATTAAAATTAATTCGAAATTCAATAAATCATTAAATTTTTAAATAATTTAAATAAAATTAGTGAAAAATAATTAAATTTTAATTCATATAAACCAAAATAATTTAATGATTCATTTAATTAAAGTTAGAAGCATAGTTAATTTAATGCGTAGACATAAAACATATGGTAGAACAATAGGTCAAAAAGGCACTAGCTAAATTCCAAGGAACTTCATCCCTTCTAAAGGGAAGACCTTATTTGGAAGAATATGATTCAGTGACTTATCCAAAAGGATTTGTACTGTCTTCATTTAAGAACTTCAATGATATAGACAATCTTAAACAAAATCATGTGTATTTTAGGGCTAGTTGTTATAACGGTGGAGACAATGATGCACTATTTTTCAAGCAATTTATTAGTAGCTTATCTGGCATCACATTTGATTGGTATGTTGAACTGCCCAATAGGTCAATCCACACATTTAATGAATTAGAAAGTCTATTTATAAAAGGATTTGATGGTATCACAGTAGGTGATCTTGTAGCGGAGAAGAAAAAAATAGGTAAAAGTTTGGTAGATTATATTCTAAGATGGAGAAATCTTAGCACGAACATGAGATGTAATTGCAAGAACAACATGCTATAGAGATTATATTAAAAATATTCGAGGTCCAATCGCCTTTTTACTAAATGGCTTTACAATCAAAACCTTCGAGAAGCTGTTTTGAAAACCTCTAACTCCTAGAGGAAGCCTCTCACCTACAATTTCTAAAAGATCAATCTTCTTTAGAAATGAAGAAATTAAAGCTTCAGAAGCTTCTATAAAAGAAATTAGGATCAGTGTTTGCAGTTGATAAAGGAAAACAACTTATGCAGATTCAGGTAGATAATCCAAGTTGACCTACTTAGTATATGTAATATAATAGACCATAGAATTATCAACAATTCAAATCTCAACCTTATAGTACTCCAAAAGAGAAGGAAATATTTGAGTTTTTTAAAAACAAGACCTATTCATTCAAAAGTGAAGCTATTAAGAGAATATTTAAAAATCTTTTAAAGAAAACAAAATTCAAACTTCCTGATCCTAAGAAACATGAAAAGGTAAGCAAATTGGCGCTGTGTAGTGCTTTATGTGACAATGATCTGGTGATGAGTTTGACCTTTTATTTCTCATATCACTAGAACAAATCCTTTTTATGTCTTGCCATAACCATTGGTTTCATTTATGAGGATTTTATATGTGTGAGTTCCTTCATCACAACCAATAACCCATTACTTATTAGACACACAAAATACATGTGAGTATGCATCAATCATATTAAAAATATAATTTACATTAATATATTTAAAATTATACCCAAATGATTTATTGGGCCAGTCGTACACTTATTTATTATTATTATTATTATTATTTGACTTCTTCATGCGGGGTGGTGCCGTGTCTCTTCACAGAGAAATTATTCTGTGTGGAATCTGATCACAACGATGTGTTCGGTTGCTTACGTGGAAAGGGTTAAACAGTCAATTGACTTGCGTAAACCTCGTAAACCCGATGCGTCTTCCAGCCCGACCCGTGAGATTTAGGCTGACGCTTATTTTTTTTAGAATTTAAGGCGCGCGCGAATCATCGCAATATATAACGCTTAGAGCCAAAATTTTCGCAGAGAAGCCAAAATTTTAACAGAGAAAATGCCGATGAAGATGGAGACTGATCTTGAGGAGGATGTTGGTTTTTATGAGCAGACATTATTTTCGCAGGTCTAGGAGGAAGCCGATAACCTGGAGAATGCCGACGTCCAGGAAACAAGCGCACATGAAGCAGAACACGTAGAACCAGTGTGACTGGACGAAAAGTTCAGCATATCGGTAATGTTCGCCTCCTTCCAAGTTTTCTTTGTGTATTTATTGTGGGTTTAGGAAAGATGCGTATTTTTATCAATAATGTATATAATGTTAAATTGTTATTGACTTATGTTCCCTTCTTTTGAAGTATTATCGAGCTAGGGATGTATAATAACGAATTTGTAGTTCAATTTCCTTATTTAAAAGTTTTGTTGCGTATGTATTGCGTATCTATTTGATATACATTGAGTATTTTTGTGTATTGAATTGGTATACATTGCGTATACATTGCGCATATGTTGGGTTTTTATTGCGTATTTGTTGCGTATTGCGCTGCTTAATTGCTGCTTATTTTTTGCGTATTGGTTACGTATTGGTTGCTTATTTTACTATTCACTTAATGCGTATTTCTCAGGATGTTTATGTTAATGAGAAATAGGCATATGAGGCTTATCGTTCTTATGGATATAATCTTGGTTTTAGTGTTCGTAAGGATCATCACAGTTACTGACTAAATTCCAGAAATTTAAAATCCAAAGACTTTGTTTGTTCAAAAGCTGGTTTCAAGAAGTTGCCTGATCTTAATATCCAAAGGAAATATCGAAGATCAGATACCCAAACTGGTTGTCCAGCTATGATTAGGTTTAAAGTGGATGAAGCTGGATATTGGAAGGTGAAAAAATATATTGAAAATCACAATCATGATTTGCCTAGGCCAAAGTCCGGCACCTTCTTAGATCATGCAGGAATATGTGTGATGAAAAGCTTATGTTCTTAAAGCAATGACAGATGCTGGGATAAGAACCACTGATGCATTTTCCTTCCTTGCTGATGAAGTTGGAGGTGTCGAAAATATTGGATTCACAAGGAGGGATGCGTACATCTTTATTCAAAGAATAAAAAGAGCAAAGATTGAACTTGGGGACACTAATACTTTGATTGAGTTATTTAAAGAACGTCAACTTAATGATAACACGTTCTCTTGGGATGTCTAGAAGGATGAATTTGATAGATTGTTAAATTTTTTTTTGGGTTGATGGGATTGGTAAGATAGATTATGACTGCTTTGGTGATGTGGTAATTTTTGATACAAGTTATAGGCTGAATAAGTATAATTTGGTATGTGCACCATTTATCGGGGTTAATAATCATTGGCAAAACATTTTGCTTGGGGTGGTCTTCTTGTTTGAAGAGACAATTGAATCATTTACGTGGGTGTTTACAACTTTTGTTTGAATGATGGGTGATAAACATCCAAAAACAATATATGCAGATAAAGACCAGGCAATGGCTAGGGCCATAGAAGTTGCACTACCTCAAAGTCGCCATAGATTGTGCCAATGACATATCCGTAAGAAGGCTCCATCAAAAGTATCGTGCTACAATACGAACAACAAAGTCAAAGGCCTCTTCAATAAGTGTTTGAGCAGATGTGACTCTGAGGAGGAGTTTGAAAATGCATGGGCTGAATTGATCATACAAGGGAACCTCCAAGATCATGTTTGGTTGCAGGATCTTTATAGGATAAGGAATAAGTGGTCAACAGCCTTCAATAAGGATTATTTTAGCATGGACATTCTATCCACACAACGTAGCGAGTCTACTAATAATGTGTGTCATGG